GAAAACGCATCAATAATCGGTCATTTTGGATTTGTGTTTGAGGAAAGTTCGGTCAGGGGATCACAAATGACACAATAAGCGTGACGTGATCGTTTTAGGAAAGCTCTGTTTTCAACGATAGTCATGTCAGATTTGTGATCTCCTCACCGAGTGTTCCTCAAGCACAAATCCAAAATGGCCGGTGATTGTTGCGTTTTTAAATTCCACCGGCGTATTGTGGACGGAAGACATTTGATGCGCTTTCGGACTGAAACCTCCGATTTCAAATTCCTCCGGGGTAGTGTGGACGAGACCTTGCGGTCTCGACAAAATCGAATGGTACTATGGGTAGTGATAGTTTATTATAATTCATCAACTCAAATAGAGTCGCTCATGTTCGCAAGGCAAGAGAAGCATTTCTGATCTCCAAGTGCAAGACCGTTGAACCTTCTGGGTTAAACAGGCATGTCGAAATTTAATCTGTTAATTTTTTTATGTATTCGCTGTAGTACACGTTTCATTTTTCTCTATTTTTGTGAACCAATCATGTCACATATTTCCTTAAGTATCGTTTAAAATTGTGTAACCGTTTTATCCATATCTAATTAGCTTCAGTGTAGCCCCTGAAGAAGGTTAACAACAACAACAACAACAACAACAACAACAACAACAACATCCTCTTTATTACCCTTTTTTTTATTAATTAATACAGAAATATATAAAATATTGCTAAGAATTAGGGTTCTGGCAACCCGAAATAACCACTAGGTTAAAAATGTCTTGTCTGACCGAAATATTGGGCATTAAATAAATTTACCCTTTTCAGCCGTCCGGTCAGCCTTTCAATTGGTTTTATAGTTCATTATAGTTTATGTTAGTTTGCTTGAGGTTCACCTTGTTTCAGCAAGCAGGAAGCGGAACATGAATAGACGTGTTTGTCTTGTTTCCTTCTCTTCCGCTGAATAGCTTTTTTAGGAAACCTTTCTCAAAATAACTATAAGCCACAACTCGTACCAGTCCACTTACATGAAATGAATGTTTCATTTCGAAAAGCTAACCGGTCTTTTCTATTGTAGTTGTCACGCAATGAGTAGAAACGTTACGTCACGAACAAATAAAGAACTTGATATTTTATAAAATATATAACTGTCAAAAAATTGCAAATGACTTTAACAGTGCTGTTGATCGACACAAGGAAGGTTTCAACTCAGCTTATGGAAATTTTCATACAGTGTTTATACAGTGATTTTCATACAGTGAGTTATTTCCGCATTTAGTTTCCCCAGTACCACCCTACACAGTCTCCCCGACCTTCACAGTAAACCTTTGTTATAAACATATATTCGGATATTTGAATCAGTGACCCGAGGAGCTTGTTTTGTGATCCGAGATGTTTAGATGACGAAGCCTAATATGACAAGACCGGGACCTGTTTTACTGTTTCTACTGACCATTTTTATTTCAAGCCTTCCCAGAGAACGCTATTCAGTAACATCTTGTGGAGGTATGGTTCATTTGCCTTTATTGGCCCTTATTCGCTATTGTAAGCCTGGTCTGGTGATGTCAGTAACCAAGGCTTGTCACGCTTAGTTGAAGTTTATTTGCAGGCTAATTGCAAACGAACTCGACGTCTTTCGTGTAAGTGACACGGACAGAGAGCGCTAAACTTTGACATATTTCTCCAAAACAAACGGCAGTCAATTTCTATTCCACTCTGGACCGAGTTTCACGAAACCAAAAACGCGTATACGACGGTCGAGACGTGTTGGAGCGTGTAAATATGAGAGGGATGATCATATATAAAAACTGTATCATATCAAATTTATTGTGTTTCACAAGAGGCAGTTAAAGAGTCGATAATTATTTTTAAGGTACATACCTTCGGTTAAGATTACCTCAGGCTCAATGCACGTTACGAAATGGCAGCTCTACACGTAGGGGAACGTGTTGTGTACATTAATTGTGTGTACTTGATGTCGGACTTAAAAGATCGGTGCATATTCAACATACCGCAAAAATTAAGTAATCGCACGACATGCGATTACAAAATAAACACAATACACAGGAGGACCGCGTTAGTGTGAACCGTAACGTTTTATAGCAGAAGATTGTCCGACAATGTTTAGTTACAGGCACAAAGCCAGTGATAGCTAAAGGATAAAATTTTTGCCCAAAGAGATGAAATCTGTAAAAAAAATTATATTACATATTCTATTACGCGTGTAGGGAACTAGGTCTGTCATTAAGTCTGCCTTCTCACAACACTTCTCAAATATGTAATTTTCATGCAATTGCTAACTCGTTCTTGAAGTTTGCATATGCAAAGAGTAAGAAAGCGCCTAATTAGATGTTGCGCAGTTGTTCTTTTCGAATTGAATCGACGTCTTGTGTCCACTCAAGGATATTATTTAAAATTCTCATTTGCCCTGAAGCGACAGGGGAGACACAATCGAAAATATCTGGTTTTGACATCGATAAATTTATAATTTTTTCAGATTTTAAACCTTGTAAATACACCATATACGTTCTTAGCGAATGCTACGTATAAAAGAAAGTATTGTACTTGTTATCTGAATTTTCTGAGTAAGATAACGGTAAGTTAATTATTAATGCCTACTGCTCGAGATGGCAGCTTTCCACGGCGCCTCAGGGGTTGATTGACTTTATAGTCAGCATCAAGTTGCTAACTAACTGACTGAGTGATTTAGTTTTGCACTTAGCCTCGTTTTGAAGAGGACGTAAGGAAAAATAAGGAAATGGCTTGTCTTCGCACGACATCCGACAAAACTTTTTTGGAGCATCTTACCTCGGCTTATCAACTAATACCTGCTTTGTGTGGATTCCGAGTGAAAATAAGCCTCACCCTGTGCGACAGACTAAGAAAAACGTAGCTGTCACCAACTGTCTGTTATCGACAACTAAAGTAGCTTTCCTTTCGAATCGTAAAACGTCTGTGTTGTTGATAAGTTTTTTTTTTACATGTTGTTGTTGATAACTCGCTTCACAAACTGGCTTTTTTGATAACGATAACTTTTCGTTGCGGATAATTACTTGTCTGCTAATATTTCTGTTAAGAGCCCTAGTTATTTTATTTACTACAATTTAACCAATAGAGCAGTTTTTCCCTGTTTACATAGCCTCATATAAACACTTATGTTGTGTTTACATTTGTGCTTTTACCAAGGTAAACAGTTACTAAGGTCAAGTTACTTAACCTTGGTACAGTCGCACAGTGTTTATACTGATACAAATAACTGATCTGTCAAAACTTGCGCGCGCTGCACCCGGGGGAGGGGAGGGAGGGCACTGCCATATATGGGCTATATAGGTATGTGCCGCCGTGAAGGGTATGGTTTTCAAGCAGTTTACTC